GACTCCTGTTTGGCGATTCTCTGATAAATGAAGACGCACAGGGGGGGCCCAACACTGCCTTAAAGCAAGGAGTTTTTCCCAGTCCTCTCTTCCATCTAAACATAGAAGAACAAAGTCCTGTGCTTACATGAAATCCAAACTCTTCTTCAGAGTCCCCGCTAAAGCATGCTTAGCCCTATTGTCATGTTAGAATGGCCTCATTTTAACTCAAAGTACTCATATACTCTGCTTTCACCTGAATCATTCCTCCCTTTGCTGACTCCTATGATATTCCCCTACTTCTCCATCACTACCTCATTTTTCTTGTACAAATTGCCATCAGAAAAAACATCCCTAGAGTGATAGAAACACTCTTATTATGGGAAACTGTCTTATTTCTCAAGCAGGCAAACAGCTCCCTTCTAGGTTTTCCTCTTTGAACAAGAGCTGTTCTTAAATTTCTTGTCCCAAGCTACAAATTCCTTTACAACTGGGGCGTAAGACAGAGACGTGGGTGGCGTCAGGATGAAAAGTCATTTTAAGTAAATCTACTTAATATTACAAATTGGAGAGTTCTAGGTAATTGCTAGAATGGCTTTGGTTGGAACTCTACCACTGGTCTTCTAAACAGAATCACTGGCTCTGGAATGGCCCTTTAGAACACAACAGGTCACATCTTCTGTGCTGCTAACCACATCTTCCCTTCCCCCAAACCTTTTATTTCTCTCAAAATTCTCCATTATAAATTGTGATTATGGTCTTTGGGAGGACTTTTATTTTAAAATCACCAGCACAATGCCTCTTCAAAGTTCCACCATTATTTATCATATAATAATAGCATTGACGAGGGTAAATTACATGTTGCCATTCTTCTTGGATTTCCCACGGAGAGGAAAAATCAAAGACATCCCTGTATGTTCTACCACTTTTAAAGAAAAAAGAAAAAAAGTTAACTTACAGGAATGATGAAATAAAACAGATGAGGGCAGGGGACACCTTTAAAAGACTGCCCAAACTATCAAATTGGGACTTAACATAAGAAGAATTATATATACTGCATACAGTCCAAACAAGATAATCCTTTTTATCGGGGGGTGGAGAGTAAAATGATTAACTTGCTCCTTTTGCTATCAGTTTTTACTTATTCATTGTACCCAATTCAGGGGTCCCAAGAGGATTCATTCAGATTTTTAACAGCCAAGTGTAGGTTAACGTAGAGGTGAGTCCCATAAATTTCAAGGAGCTTCTTCTGCAGGATGTAGTTAATCTTGCTTGATCTAAAAATCTAAACAGGGTGGACTTAGTACTTGCACTGGAAGCCACCAAGGAATCCCAGGGTGGTAAGTTAAAACAACATCCCTGAAGCCCTGGCAACTCCGTTTCATATTGTTGCCAAGAAAACTCCATGAACATAATAAAGTCACCAGGAATGCAGCTTGACTCAAATGAAACTTTGTTCCTTAGCCTAGTTTGTCTAACAGCACCTGGCCAACCTTGGTTTGTCTAAGAAGCTAAGCAGGGTGGATTCAGGTTAGCACTTAGGTAGGAGTCCAGAGAATCCCATGGCTGTAGGCTAGACTGGAAAATTTAAAAAAAAAATGTCAATAAGTAACAAAAGCAGAGCCTTATCAAGTTCAAGAGAAGTACATGCACATGTCCATTGTAGGAGAAGATCTGGTGAATGATTTGACCTGCAGCTCATGAAAACTTATTCGTTAGTTGGAAAAGGTGCTATCAGATTCCTTTTGATTGCCCATGATGCCCACAATACCCATGAAATTCCCAGGAGTCAAGTTAGACTCAAGGAAAACTTAGCCTTCTTTCTGGACTAAATATTGCAGCCTAAGACAGGAATGAATATGTCTGAGAGACTTCTGGGTAACTTTGCAGGAGATAAACAAGAGTTTCCAATCCCTGAGATTGGGCACGACTCTTTGCCCATTTAATTTGTTTAAATTGCCTGTTCGTAGTAAGAATGTTTGGGTAAATTGTGTAAAAAGTGTCCATTCAAATCTGGCAATAAAAATAAATTCCTGGATAGAACTATATTCTAGTTCTTCAAACTAGGCTTGTTAACTGCCAGAGCGATTAACTTGCATAGGGAAGACTCAGGATTCTATATAAAAATAAAGTAGATCACATAATGCTAACCTTAACTGTAATCCTGACCAAACTTACTTGGAAATAAGCCTTAGCGAAAAGTACAGGATTTACTTCTAAAGAGTGGGTTGCCCATTATGGACAAGGGAATACATTTTAACAAAATTAGCACACCATTAAGCAAACTGAATTGGGAAGTCAAGTCAGTTGCTGACATTCCAAAGTCAGTTTCTGTTCTGAAGAGGCAAGGGGTAAAAGTGATCAATTACAGAAATAAATAAAAGCTATCACAAGAATGGGACTCACTTGCAAAAACAGTAGAGCTAAAAGAACTCCTTTATCCCTTTTCAGTTGGGATCCATTAGTCTTAGCCTGATATTAAAAGGGTCACCAAAGCAGCAGAAATATATGGCCAAAATTAAGACATGGGCCCCCCCAATGCATACTTCAGTCAAAGATGAGTCTTGCATTTCCAAAGCTTGAGGAGTTCTGCATCTCAGAATAGTTTCTCTGCATCTCAGAATAGGTGGTGCCAAGTCAGAATGGAATTTTGGAGAGAAATCAAACACATCCCTCAGCTGATAATGGCTTAATTAGTTTACAATATATCTATCTACTGCCTTTCTTTATGAGAAGGAATCTGGTAGCACCTCTTCCAACTACTAACTTTTATTAAAAGGCACAAGCTTTCATGAAGCGCAGCTCACTTCATCGGATCCGTAGAGTTAATCAGAAAAGATGCCTTCAGACTCCTTCTGAATTTTGTTTTGTTCCCATAGATTAACATGGCTCTCCTCCTACAATGCCTTTCCTTATAGGATTGAGAAAAACTGCATCGTAATCTGGACTGGCTTAGATTTTAGGGATGAAAATGGGAGGTTTCCCATTTCTCGTATGAAAGATGTAACTTTTGACAAAAAGGCATTGGCATCTCCCATAAAGATAGAAAACAGGATACTTGACGTGAAGCAGCTTTTCAGACATTAGCATTTCAGGGTTATTGACAGATCCCAAAACTCATCTTGAAAGAACAGGGGCTGCAATCCAACACATGCTTACATGAGAGTGGAAAAAAAAAATCTGTGAACTCAGTGGGACATGTTTCCAAGTTTAAATATAAATGTAGAGTTGCTCTCATAGATTCCATCAGGAGACAGACAGTGCAAAACATCCAGCCATGTGTTTGCTTAGTTCATCCCAACCCATAGTCCAAATGGAAAGAGTTCATCACACCAGTCTAGTCACACAATGCATAGAATTCCCCAGTAGGAAGTGAAGGCATGGCTTATTGCAAATACCTAATCCGCAGTAGGTAAATGTTAATAGTTCAAATAGTCGTGCAATTTCACAACTCTTGGGTGGCAGTTTGACAGTGAATCCCAGGCTTCCATCCTACCAGACTACAATCAACAGATTATTCCTTTCAGTTCTCCCCTTCTAGGAAAATGGTTGTTATTTACATTGCTTTTGGCAAGTTTTCCCCACTCCCATTCCTTCTTCAATTCAAACTTATCCCAGGCACATTTGGAGACATTGTAATAGGATGCCAATGTTATGCCTGCTAACACTTTCTTTCATATCAGCACTTATCCTCCTGCTGTACTTAGATGGATTTCCATCCTCCCCTTCCTTTCCCATTCTCAGGTAGCAGCCCAGGTAATTTCATACTTACATATGTTTGCTCAGTCTTAATACCCTTCATTAAGGTGTAAGTGGCCCCTGAGTGCAAAGGGATGTTCCCAACAATGCAACATTATCAGACCATACATTTCAGTTCTCTTTGGCAGCGAAGCCCACCTTGATGATATGAGAGGCATCTCCATGCTTGTAGATGTCAGTCCAGTCATTTTGTTCTTAAGGTCAAGGTGCTGGTGGGATGAATTTCAAAACAGGTTGATCCTTCCAGCTGCTGTCCAACACAAGTGTGAAAAAGATCAAATAAAATCAACTTGCCAGGTTGAGCAGGGCAATTTCAATACAATATACCAATGAGATGCAGACAAGATGTTCCAAGGATCTTTTCCCCACTTATTGGTGGGGATCCTCTGCTTGTTGGACTTAGAAAAGAGGTTTACACCTCTGCCATAATCAGCATCTACGTTTGCCTCTCTGGCTTCAGTCCAACCTTACGCAAGGGTCGTGTTCCGGCAAGGTGCAGAATTACCAAATTAATCCATTTTCTGGGTTGCACAATACATTGAACTATACCCAGACCCAACCAGCTGAGTTCACACAACCAGCTAAGCCAAGGGCGGGTGGGGAAACAAACCCTAACTGAGATAAACCCTAACCAAGTAAAGGCTCTGTACCTACAACTGCTAGGTCTGTCGCTGACCTGATTCGGGGTGTGTGGTGTGAGCCTAGCCCTTACCCCAGCGAATTTCTCCCTACTTCTCCCACTCAGTAGCTACAGAACAGCTTCTCTGGCTGGCCGCTGGACCGCAAAGGGACTTAAAAGTGCGCGGGTGCGCTCGTGCGTCCCGCGCTCCGGTCCTACCTCCTCCCGGTTCGCCTCCCGTGGGATGAAAGGCAGAGTCCCAGCGGAGAGAAGAGGGGGGAAACGGGGTGGGACCGGGGGGGGTCTTTCTTCCACTCCTTCTCCGGATCTCCTACTTACGGAGCAAGAGGGCATAACCAGCGCAGCGTCCTGAACGGACTGCGAGCAGCAGCCAAGAGTTGAAACCTCCCTCCGCGGCGGGCGAGCGCAACTGAGCCGCCTGCAACTTTAGCGAAGTGGGTTGTAGATCCGCGGGGCGGAGCGGGGCGGGGCGGCGGCGATCCAAAAGGAAACCGCGGCAGGACCAACCCCTTAAAGGAACACGCGCGCCGCCCCCCGAGCCGCACTTCTGGGCCGGAGACCCCGGGAAGGTCTCCGTCCAGCTGGCTTTCTGTTTTTCCTCGGGAGGCGCCCGCGGTTTTGGGCAGCACCCGCCTCGCCCGGCAGGTGGGA